GTACCATTTTATACAGAAATATGCCATTTATTCCCACAAGTACTGAATGAGCATTCCTGTGGCTCTACATCCTCCTTGACATTTGATGATGTCAGTGTTTTTTATTTTAGCCCTCCAATAGGTATGTATTCATCGCTCACTGTTGTAATGCCCAACATACCAATGGCATTTGATGTTAGGTACCTTTTCAGATATTTCTTTATCATTGGTATATCTTCTTTGGTGATATATGTGTTTTTATTTGTCCAATTCAAAAAGTTAGATTGTCAGGGGTGGGAAGGTGGCTCAGTGGTAGAGTGCTTGCCTTGCATGCATGAGGCCCTGGGTTCCATTCCTCAGTACCACATAAGCAAAAAGAAAAAAGCCGGAAGTGGCGCTGTGGCTCAAGTGGTACAGCGCTAGCCTTGAGCTGAAGAGCTGGGGGACAGCGCCCAGGCCCAGAGTTCAGGCTCCATAACCAGACCCCCCAAAAAAACAAAAACCAAAAAACCCCAAAAGTTAGAATGTCTGCTAGTGTAAAACACATGTTTGACCTTCATCCCATACAACTCCTAAAATCCTTAGAATTTTTAAGTGGTGGGTTTTGTAGGCTAGCAAGGCAACTGGTAGCTGATATAACTGTAGGATGGGAACTGGTCATCAGAAAGACCGAGGAAGGGTTAAGTGGTTAAAATTTTATTCTCACCCCACATATCATGGCAGAGAGAGAGAAGATTAGGAATAGCCAGTATCAGTCCTGCCTGTGTAATGAAGCTTCCATAACAATGTAAAAAGGATCAGGTTTTGGGAACATGTGATGGTATTCACATGGTGTGAACATTTGATGGGTGGTGGGTCCAAAGAAAAGATGAAAGCCCTTCACCCTTTTACACATGCTCAGACCTATACATCTGTCATGTGTATCCTTTATGATATTCTTGTAACAAACTAGTAAATAGAATTAAGTGTTTCCCTGGATTCTGTGGGTACCTGGGTCACTAATCCCAGGAGAGGGTTAAGGATCCTTAATTTTATAGACAATTGGTCAGAAGCACAGATACAATGAGTGCAGCTTATGAAGGTCAGTCTTGAAGACTTAGGCTTTACCAGTGGGATCTCTATATGAATCTGACTGAAAGACATGGAGCTGGTGTCTACTGTAGAATTGATTGGTTAGTATATGGGGAAAGAAAATGCCACACATTTGGTACCAGAAGTCTTCTGTGATTGTTGTTGAAAGTATAAGAGTTTTGAGTTTGCTTTTTCAAGGATTTCCTATTGTTGGGCCTTAGGAGCTATTTATTTATTTCTTTATTTGTTGGTTGTTTGGTTGGTTGGAGGCTTGAACTCAGGGCCTGGGAGCTGTCCCTGACCTCTTTGTGCTGAAGGTCAGTGCTCTACCACTGGAGTCATAGTACCACTTCCAGTTTTTGAGTGGTTAACTGGAGATAAGAATCTCATGGGGACTTTTCTGCCAAGTCTGGCTTTGAACTATGATACTCAGATCTCAGCCTCTTGAGTAGCTAGAATTATACCAGCTCCTGGAAAGAGTTCTTTTTGTATTTTGTATATCAGTCCCTTTAGCAGATATGTGTTTTGCAAAGATTTTCTGCCAATCTGTGACTTCTCTTTTTGTTTTACTAATAATGGTTTTTGCAGAATGTGTGTGTGCAATGCACATGCGTGGGAACTCAGGGCCTGGGTGCTGTCTCTGAGCTGGCACTCTACCACTTGAGCCATAGCTCCAATTATAGTTTTTTTCTTTCATGGTTAATTGATGAGAAGAGTGTCAGCCTTTCCTACCCCAAGCTGGCTTTGAACTATGATCCTCACAGGTCAGTTTCCTAAATAGTAAGATTATGGGTTTGAGTCACTGGCGCCAGGCATATAATAGGTTTTTAATTTTAATTAAGTTTAATTTATAAATCATTTTTTATTGACCACAGTTTTGATGTTTTATCTATGAAGTTACCACCAGGACTTGAGGTATGGCTCAGTGATGAAGCACTTGCCTAGTATGCTTGAGGACTTAGGTTTGAGTCCTGTCACCACAATATAAGAAAAAGTCCTCACTAAATTTCTAAGGTCACTTAGATTTTATCTCATGTTGTCTTGAAGTTCTTTTCTGCCTAGTCTGGGCAGGAACTAAGGTCCTAAGTAGTTAAGATTATAGGCATAAACCACTGGTGCCTGGTTATATGTTTGTGATTTACATTAAGGTCTTTGGTCCATTTTGGTTTTTTTTTTTTTGGTGTAAGTGCTATAGCCAGTGTCTAGATTCAATTTTGTATGTGGATATCTAGTTATTGCAATACCATTTATTGAAGAGACTATCTTCTCTTCATTGAATTGTTTTGTTCCATTTTCAAAGATCTTCTGATCAGTGGGGCTTTATTGGATCTATCTGTGGGGGCATTTCATGCTATCTTTATATCTATTTTTCATATTCATAGTGTATCTTCCAGCAATGAATAAAATTCTTTTGTCTTAACTAATTAACTTATTGTCAGTACTGGGACTTGAACTCTGGGGCCATGTATGACTGAATAACTCTTTTTTTTTTTTTTCTGTCAGTCATGGAGCTTGAACTCTGGGCCTGGGCACTGTCCCTGAGCTCTTCAGCTCAAGGTGAGTGCTATACCACTTGAGCCACAGTGCCCACTTCTGGCTTTTTCTGTGTATGTGCTGCTGAGGAATCAAACCCAGGGCCTCAGGCATGCAAGACAAGCCACCTCTCAGTCCCAACTTTTTTTTTTTTTTTTTTGCTCAAGGCTGATGCTCTTCCACCTACGGCTTGTCTATGCTTCCAGCTTTTTGCTAGTTAATTGGAAATAAAAATCTTTAAGATTTGTCTGTCCTGGCTGGCTTTGACTGCCATCCTACTATTTCAGCCTCTTGAGTTGCTGGGGTTATAGGTGCTTGGAAAAATTCTTTTGAAGAAGAAACTGAGGCTCATAGTGGAGAACCACATACTCCTTGTGTTATAATCTGACAAATTAGTTTATTCCAGGTGGCAGAGTTAGAATTTCAACCCACATCTGTCTGATTGATTCTGGGTACTTCTTGTGTCTCATGGTGCCTGATGGTGCTAGGCTGGGACTTGTCCTGTTAACTTGAACCTGTGATATGGCTCTCCAGGAGCTAAGTTCTCACATCTTCTTCTTTTCAATGTTCTCTGCTTGCAGCCAAGACTGCCTATCACTCATGATTTCTTTGGACTTTTGTCTTGAACCTTAACCTGTCTAAATGTTAGCTTTTAGTAAAATATTCAGCCTTTTTTTTTTTTTTAAAATTCTGTTGTTTGTTTCTTTTCAGCGTCATCTTGAGCCAAATTATTTTGCTCCTTGATTTCTAGGTTTTTTTTTCTTTTTTTTTTTTTCTGAGAAGTCACTTCCCCTTGGGCTTTATCATTTAGAGTTTCCTATTACCTTTCTGAAGGTCAAGCCTGCAGACTGGGATTATGAGAATCTTAATTCTGTATGGGCTCTGTGTTGCTTAAGTACAGCGATTTACAGTTTTATTTTAATGCTAAGAGTCATTAAAATTCCTACATTTATACTTAAATCATAAAGGGATAGTCTTTCAATCAGAATCATCAAAGGGTAAAACCAACAATTTAAAGATTTTAATTGGTTTTTATTTTATTCTAGATCCAGGTTAATACTTTATTCCATAAAATAGAAAGTCTTCCAATAAGCTAAAACAAGGATTTGTTTTATATAGACAGAAAGTGAAGATGTGCTCAAGTGATAGAGAGCCAAAAAAGCTAAGCAAGAGCACAAGCCCCTGAGTTCAATTTTCAGTACTAGTACACACACACACACACACACACACACACACACACACACACACACACACACACACACAGAGTTGTTTTTTTTTGTGGGGGGGGGGTCCGGTCATGGGCCTGAACTCTGGGCCTGGGTGCTGTCCCTCAGCTCTTCGGCTCAAGGCTAGCGCTCTACCACTTGAGCCACAACACCACTTGTGGCTTTTTTCTTTTTGCTTATGTGGTGCTGAGGAATGGAACCCAGGGCCTCAGCATGCACTGTACCACTGAGCCACCTTCCCAGCCCCACACAGAGTTCTTCTGAAGGTTAACTCCATGCAGAAATGTACCTCAGAAATTGCTTATCTAATTCCAAGGAAATATAATGAAAACTGTAGCTGATAACTGTGGTTCCTGCTCTGTGTGTGTGTGTGTGTGTGTGTGTTGAGCAAAGAAAGTCAAAGAGTTAGCTCCAGTGTTCATGAACAGTTAGATCCCATGTCTGTCACAGAGTGGCGTGGGCTCTCTCCGACCATGGACAAGGACTAGGTACTAGGGCTTGAACTCATAGCCTGGGCACTGCCCCTGAGCGTTTTCAGCCAAGGCTGGCGCTCTACCACTTGAGCCACACCTGAGCTGTCCCCGGATTGACTGGAGAGGCGTCTTCTGGCATTTGTCTGGCTAGGATGGCTTCAAGCCTCCGTCCTCAAACCTCTGCCTCCGGAGCTGGCCGCGAGGCTCTGACGCCAAGCTTTGGACTATTATTACGGGGGGAAAAAAAGATCTGTAAGAATTAAAAATTAAACCCTTACAGCGTATCCCAATCTTCAGTTTGGGAGATGGAAAACGGGTCGCCAGTTCCGTCTTCAGCTCGCTGTGGGTTCGCCGGGTCGGGGTTGGCACCGCCAGGCCCACAGGTCGCTGGGGGTTTAGCCGGAGGGCAGTTGTGGACTCCCGGGGACCCAAGGTGCCGTGGCGCCCCAGGCCGGAAAAAACGGCCAGCCACAGCGAAAGCGCGGGGTGAGGTTTTCAGACAGCGGGGGGAATCCCAAGGTTAGGGCGCGCGAAGACGGATGCTCCGCCCACCGTGGGCGTGGCCGCCGCGTCGGGCTACCATTGGTTCTGAGGATGACGTAGGATCGAGTCGGGGCTTCAGGGCCCGCGGCGGGCGGTGCGAGGGGCGGGGCCCCGGGCGGCTGATGAAACCCGCGCTTGATCCCGCCTTCCCTGCGCGCTTCATTCACTCCACGCGGGCAGGTGTGAGCCGCACATCCCGAGCAGGCAGCGGGACACGCGGACGGACGGCGCCCTAACCGTACTCCATTGGGCCCCCGCGCGCTTACCCTTCCGGCCGAGCGTCCTCCAGTCCCGTTCGTCCCTCGTTCCACCCGCGGTGTGGTCCGCATCCCATCGCCCGTCAGCGCCCCGCCCGCCCGGTGAGTGCCTGGACCCCGCCAGCGCCTGGACAGCTCCTCGGGCCTGGGTCACCTTGGGAGTGGGGTGTGTGTGGGGGTCTCCAGCCCCGTGTGGAACCGTGGGACGGCGGGCTCCGGGATGACTCGTGGCGCTCGCGGGGGGCGCTGGCATCTTCCGGGAGGGCGAGGCAGGGCGGGCCCGGGGTGTGCGCGCGGGGCCGGTGCCCATGCGGCTGTCGCCTCCACGGAGTCCATTTTGGTTCCCTGAAGGCGCGGCGTGGTGCATGATGCAACCTCCACCCACCGAGGAGGCGTGGGCCACCTGGCGCCTCGGCGATGCCGGCTCCGCGAGCTCGCCCGCCCGCCCGAGACCCCTGCGCTGTCACGCCCGGAGTGGGCAGGGTGGGCTCCCGGACACGGGCGGGCCCTCGCCCGCCGGCGGCCGGCTAGACCTGCCCTTACATGGCGCGGGGCCGGAGCGCCCCTCCCCGCCACAAGGTCCGGGGACGTGTCAGCCGCCGCGGCGGGGGGCCCCGCCCGGTTCCAGGAGGGTGGTCCTGAGGCAGGTGGCCAGCCCGAGAACCGCGCTGCGCATCTCCCCGGTGGTCGAGACGACCACGCTGTGCTGTCACCCCAGCCCGCACCCTCACCTGCCCCACCTCTCCTCCAGATCCCCACCGTGACTGTGTGCGGGGGGGGGCGGGAGGTGGGTCCCCTCAGGTTGGGCCTCCTCGTGTGACCCGGTGTGGCCTGAGAAGACTGGCTTCTTTCAGCTCTCCAGATGGTTTGGAGTGGGAGGAAGTTCTTCCGGCTTGTGAAAGACAACCTATTCTCGGCGTCTTCCTCTCTGCGTAGTAGAAAACTTCCCGGGCACCGGCAGGTCACAGCTGTGTTTGTACACAGAGCAGCTCCACACATCGTACTACTGTCGCGTGCTGGGTGCGTGTCTGCCCCCTTTCAGGGCCTGTGGGAACCACCTCAGAGTTGTGACTTAATGTGATTAGGATAGCCAGCCATGTGTCTTCATAGAGAGAGAGAGAGAGAAACAACAAAAAAAAAACAACTCCCAAACAAAACTATACAAATAGCAAGTGCTAGCTCTTCTTTCAGGCAGGAGAACCAGGATTTCGATCTCAAGAGTATTTCCCTAAAAATGTGCTCTCTCAAAATTTCTCTAGACTTGTATACATTGTCTTCTGATAGATGTCCAAGTAGAAATTTAAGTTGATCAGTTTGGGGGGCATTTATCTTAACTCCTTAACTCCTCCCCTTCCCCTTTATGTGTGTTTTAGGAAACCATGATACATTTATTCCCTTGATAGTTTTAGTTGGTCTCAGTGGAAATTATTATTTTTATATGAACACACCCTTCTGTCATTAAAACAAAAAGTCTTATTTAAGTCTCACAATCAGAATAGAAAGTCTGGGTTCGGGGGAGCTGGTGTAGGTGGCTCTTGCCTTGTAATCCTAGCTACTCTGGAGGCTGAGATCTGAGGATCACAGTTCAAAGTCAGCCTGGGCTGGCTGGAAGTGGCCCTGTGGGTCACATGATAGAGCCCTAGCCTTGAGCACAAAGAGGTTCAGGGACAGTGTCTAGGCCCAGACAGAGTTCAAGCCCCTGGACCAGCAAAAAGGAAAAAAAAATGTCTAGGGGTGGGGAGGAAAGACTGATTTTCAAAGGATTACCATATTAAGATCAACTTCAGTCTACAGGAAGAATTTAAAGGGTGTCAAAGGAGTTTGAATAAGCAAATAAGGTAGAATTCAATAAACGAGATAAGAAATGTACTCAGTTGGCTAGCTATGAATCTTAAAGGCATGTGTCTTATTTTAGGCATGTGATTATTGTTGGTCTTAGGTAAAAGGCATGAGAAAAAGTTGTGTTTTTTTTTTTTTTTTTTTGGTCCGGTCATGGGGCCTGAACTCTGGGCCTGGGCGCTGTCCCTCAGCTCTTCAGCTCAAGGCTAGCGCTCTACCACTTGAGCCATAGCGCCACTTCCGGCTTTTTTTTTCTTTTTGCTTATGTGGTACTGAGGAATCGAACCCAGGGCCTCAGGCATGCAAGGCAAGCCCTCTGCCACTGAGCCACCTTCCCAGCCCAAAGTTGTTTTTTTTTTAAACCTCAAGGAGTTAGAATTCTTTTTTTTTTTTTTTTTTGTGATGCTGGGACTAGGGCTTAAATTTTGCTTGAGGGAAATGCTTAATTTCCAACTTTTTGGTGATTAATTGGAGATGAGTCACAGGTATTTTCCTGCCTGAGCTAGCTTCAAGCAGTGATCCTTAGATCTCAGTCTCCTGACTCCAGGCAAGAAGTTAGAATTCTAAGACATAAGTGTTCATTATATTTGGTAGAAAGTCTCATTTGATGGAAAATACATGCTTATTGATCATACAAGTCTACTTTGTTTCTAGTGAGTGTAGTAAAAATAGGTAAGTATGTTGGTGGGCCCAGCTAATGTCCAGTGGAATAAATCCTTCTTCATCATTAGTCTTTGGAAGTAGTTCCAGATTGTGAAACTTCAAGCCATTGATATGGAGAAAACTTAAACCTAACCCTGAAGGTAAATCGCCTCTGTCATTTTGCCCAGAGGCATCACCTAAGATGTTCATCATCTTCCTGGCTCTTATTTCTTACCCCAAATAGGACCTGCCTTTAAGACCCTAGCGTTTTCTGTATAATTGGTCACTTTAGGCTTGGGTGATTTATTTATTTATTATTTATTTATTTTTTTGTGTGCATGTTTTGGGGCTTGAACTCAGGGCCTGTTGCTTTTGTTTAGCCTCTTTACTCAAGGCTGGTGCTCTACCATTTGAGCCATCCTTCCACTTCTAGTTTTTTCCTGGTTAACTGTAGAAAAGAATCTCTTAGATTTGAACCTTGAGCCACAGATCTCAACCTCCTGAGTAGCTATGATTACAGATGTGAACTTCTGGAGCCAGCTTCTGTTTGAGGGGTACAGGATCTATTCCACTGCCTATTGTATCCTAAGCATGTGCTCTATCCTAAACAATACCCTCTAGAGCCTGAATGCATTTTAAAGGTAGACCTAAGTTGGGCGATGGTGGCCCATGCCTGTAACCCTAGCTACTCAGGAGGCTGAGTCTGAGGATCGGGGTTCAAAGCCAGTTCAGGCAGGAAAATCTATGAGACATCTCCAATTAACCATCAGAAAACCGGAATTAGTACTGTGGCTCAAAGTAGAGTGCTAGCTTTGAGCAAAAGAGCCTAGGCCCCGAGTTCAACGCCCACAAATGACCCCCCACCCCTTGGCCCCGAAAAAAGTAGCCCTAATAAGATTGACTAGTGTTCCGTTTGAGGGTTGAGTGAGGACATACACAAATTCCAAATAACCCAGGAGATGGGAAGGCTGAGCAAAGAGTATGTTGGGTGGAAGAAGGACTTGTAAACTCACATATGAGTGTGTGTGTGTGTGTGTGTGTGTGTGTGTGTGTGTGTGTGTGTGTATGGTGTGTGTGCCAGTACTGGGGCTTGAACTCAGGGTCTGGGCCCTGTCCATTAGCTTTTTGCTCATGGCTGGTAGGGTACCTTTTGAGCCACACCTCCACTTTCGGTGGTTATTTGGAAATAAGGATCTTACAGACTTTCCTGCCTGGCTAGCTTTGAGTGTTGATCTTCAGGTCTTTCCCTCTTGAGTAGCTAGGATTCTAAGTATGAGCCACCCATTACTGGCTTTAGATTTTTCTTGACGTTCATTCTTTGTGGGAGCATTGAGGGGGTGGCAGTTTTATTTTCTTATCTTTTCATATTCCTTCTGCAGTGCTGAGTTCAGGATGTTTCATCAGCTCAAGTTGTTTAGGAACAAGCAGTTGTTGGCCTGTGTGGTAATCTAAGGTCTCTCTGTTTGCCTATAATCCTAGCTAGGCTGAGATCTGAGGATCAGGGTTCAAAGCCAGCTCTCACAGGAAAGTCCATGAGACTTTTATCTACAATTAAGCACCAACCCACCCCTCCCCCCAAATAACCCAGAAGTGGAACTGTGGCTCAAGCACTAGCCTTGAGCATAAAAGCTCAGGGACAGTGTCTAGGCTTTTGAGTTCAAGCTCCAGGACTGACACCCCCCCAAAAAATGTCTTTATGCCTCCCCTTTCTCCCCCTAAACAGGGATCTCATCAAGTTGCCTGATCTTTCTAACTCAGCCTTCTGAGCAGCTGGGATTACAGGAGTTTGCTGATTTGCCTGGCTTTCTAATTGTTTTTTAGTGCACCTTTTAGTATGGAGGGGATTTAAATGACATAATCTATGTTATGCATTTTTACAGCATTGGACGCATGCTAAGTGCATAATCTAAATGTTAATCATTCTGGAAAGAAAGCTGAGCTCTTTTAGGTGTAAGAGTTAATTTTTGTAATACCTTTGCTCTTTCATTTTCATTTTAGTTATTTTTCCTTGAGATTGTGTGTAAATTAGTGGGTACTAGGGACATCTGGGACCCAGAGGCATCTGTCACCAAGTTCCCCAGCCCATCTGGTTGTGGGTTTGAGGGAGAAAGGACAGCTTCTTGAGCTTTTGCTTCTGACTAGTTGTCCTTCGAAGCCAGTACTCTTTGAGACCAGGCACCAGTGGTGTGGGGGTGCAGGTGCTCTCAGGTCTCAGGGCCCACAGCCTTGGCCTTGACCACTTGGAGCACTTCTGGCTCCCTTCTTCATGTTTCCTGTGTGTGTATTTGTGTGTACTTGGGTGCACATGTGAAGTGGCTGCCCTGATTCCTCTAATTTTGCCCAAATTGCCCCTAAGTCTTGAGTTGGGGAAAAACCAAATGATGCTTAAGTCTGTGTCTTTTCTCTTCCTCGTTTCCTCCCTTCACTGAGGTGTAATATCCCTACCTGGGGTATGGGTGGTAGTCATGTTCCTCCAAGAGGAGGGCAGCAATGAGACGGAAGACAGCTGAGCATCTGTTAGCATTCTGTCAATAGTTAAGATTGGTTTGGAAATGTCTCCTCAGTATCATCTCATTTGTCTACCAAATGCCATCAATCAGAGTCTTATCTTAGATAAGAAG